AGTCTACTAACATCTGTAGTTCTATGATAAATAAATATTTTTTTTAAATAGAATTATTACCACGAATAGACACCTCAATGTTTCTAGTTTCTTCCATCCATCTATCTTTATCTACATATGGCATTTATATATGAGCTAAATACTGAAATTGAAGAAGTTAATATATCAACTCACACGAAGCATGATAACCAACTGTATTTAGGTATCATTGATCCTAGGTTTACCCCTCTGTGTCAGCAGTGTGTACTACCTACTCCTTCTCTATATACTGGTCTTATCTAGTGCCACCAGAAAATTGTATACTGGAGGAATAAACTAGAATGGTGAGACTGGAGTGTCAAATCACAAATTCTGGATCCAGCACAGTTTAGAGATGTGCAAATACTTACACTATTACATAGAAGTCCATGTTGAAAATAAACTCAAGTCGTTGAAGTTCATACTTAAAACCCATTATTTTATGTTGATGATCCACAAGAAGGCAAAAACATTATGTGTATACTAGATGTTGTTCATTTTGTATTGTAATAAGTATAACAACTTTTTTTTTAACATACTATGCCCGTGTAAAGAAGCAAACAAACAGAAAAGCTAAATGTAGCCTAAACTGGTAAATATGTTTACAAAGGGAAGTGCTTAATATGAGTGATACTGTATATTTAAGGTCTGGAAAGACAGAAAAAAACATTGCTGATTAAATTATCCATAATGTCATTAAACTTTTTTTTTTTTAATGAAATTGTAGTTAATTTATAGATACATTAGAAAATTGTTCGAGACACAATTTATATAGCTTCAAGAGCACAGACTCAAAAAAGCAATTGCATAACTATGATTCTTTAATAAAATAAAAGCATTCTTGTTTGTCTGGACTAATGATATATTGTGCAATTCTTTAGAAATTGACTGAATACAACATATAATATTGTAGAGCTCTCCAAAATTACTTTGTGGTTAATATCACAGACAAACAAAAGGCAAAATCTATTTTATCTGTGAGATAGTAAAGTACCCTGCAAGCGGCATTGTTACTATGTATTTCTTTATGATTTTCAATGTTTTACTAAATGATAAAAACTAAATTCTACTATTTATTGTTTTCTTATTTTATTAAAAAAAAAAAATGTGCATTTGATTTTAGACTCACTCTGGCTGTGGTATGATTGCCCCTTTCTACCATTCTCTTCTTTGCAGTTTATGATTGTTTTGGCAGATATCCAATTTTCCTAATTCATGTAACTCTTGAATTTGCTTTGTATGAAGAAAAAAAAAACATTGCATTCATTTTCTAACATTTTAAATATAGTTTGACATATTTCTAAGGACAAAGCATTAGCGACAAAGCATATGATGTTCCTATTGCAATTTATCAAATATAGTAGTATATTAACCTATCATTTGCAGCAGCAAGTTAAGAATCCCATGCTTGACATGCATAGCTGTTTTGGACAGACCCATTATACTTGTCTCGGATAGACCTTTTGTTTTATATTTCTGGAGAATCCAGCCATTGTGAGATATTTCTCAAAAAAAAAAAAAATTGTTCTAAAAAGTGGTCTAAAGTACTAGAAACTTGTGGAACCAGAAAGGAAATTCCTTTGATCACTCCTCGATTTTTTTTTATCTTTGCATCACTTTTTAGAACAGCACACTTAGATAGATTTCTCCTGTCGTGTATACTATAATGGTATATCAGAAGGAACATGGGTGGGAAGCCTGTAAGGGGACTTAATACGTAAATATTTTCCAGGTATTTTATATATTATGTAGAATGTTTTCTTATCTTATTTTTGTTTTGTCAACAATATCCTTTCACATTTGTTTTTCTGCATATTTTTCCCTAATGAACAGGTTAAATGATATCCATAGAAATTAATTTGCGAGTGTATTCCCCATTGTATTATAACATTGACAAAGGATCTGCTCTTAACCCCTTAATGACTGTAGACATACTTGACAGCAGGTGGTATTATGCAGTATGGACAAAGGCCATGCCTGTGCATCTTATAAATCCCTGCTGGTGCTGAGAAATTCCAAGTATTTCTTGATAACTTAAGCTCTCCTTTGACAGTTGGGGACAGATTTAAACTGTATTAAACTGTGTGCAAAGTAAACTCTTAACACAGTGATTTAAATAATCACGGTGGAATGATGACGCTCATGGGTATTCTAAGATCCTTGGTTGCAGAGAGAGACCAACAGGGTCTGGAATGATCCCAAACATATCTCCCTGCATGCCACACCACCAACAGTGATTGAAACTGGTCTGTGAATTCTGCCAAGTAGTGGTTACTGTGTGATTGAGAGTGATTGTATTCAGAATATCAGAATATCTCTTCCTCTTGTTATGATCAAAGTGCAGAAGGCTAATAGCATTAGGGTTAGTATTAACATTAGGGTTAGGATAGGGCTAGGGATAGTGTTCGTGCATTGTAAAATGTTGGGTTGCTGATGGGTTAGAGTTTGGCATTGGGTAGGTTCAGGGGCCTTCGAAGGGACACTTCTGTCCCGAGCGCGCAGCCCAGTTACAGACATGTGAGACAGGAGGACTGAGACAGGAGAACTGCAGACCCAATCAGATGAGGATTCTTCCTATCACTGCTGCATTGAATTAAAAGACTCTTTCCTCAGCAACTGGACATCTACAGCTAATAACTGGTTTATATATACAGCAAAACTACCTGTGGGGAGATCCATCCATTTTTCTACCATCCAATCAGTGCACTTTTGACTTGGTTTTTTGAACTTTTCAATTTTTCACTTTTTTTATTTTTCTATTGTTTATTTATCTTGCTAGTAATTTTTTTCTATTTTTTGTCTATATATATCTTTCACTTATATTTTGTGACTTATCTATTCATTAATTTTTCACCATTGTTTACTCTACATCACAGCAACTGAGTGATGGATCAAACTGAATACCAACTGAATACTTAGGAACTCCCAGCTCCACACATATGGGATTTATGGACTGTATATAGTTGTTTATAGTCTGAGATGTGTATATATTATGAATTTTTGCTATGTGTATTATAGATGAATTGATAGAGAGATCATCAATTTGCATTTGATAGTAACAGTGGTTCTTTTTCTACTTGCATGAATTTGATATAGTTAGTGTATAATAAAGGATTTTTTGCATATTTATACATTGATTCTTTTTCTTATGCATATTTTATGCAGGCGAGTGCAGTATTAATATTTATTTTTTTGTATATCTAATTGAGGTTACTTTGGGGAAAACCTTTAATACCTGCACCATTATGTAATTGAGTGCCAGCACCATCAATATTGATTATTGTGTAGGGTTAGAGCAGATGTAGAATTGGGATCAGTGTAGGCTTAGTGTTAAGGTTGATATAAGGCTAGGTTTGAATTTTGTTTGGCAATTTATGGATAGGTATATATTAGTGACTTAGGAGGGGGAGAACACCAAAAGTATATAACAAAGCCAGAAAAAAAAACTGACAGCAATTGGAAATCAACATCATTCAGCCTGGGTTCCGATAGTTGAATTTGGGATCAATCTAGTATATGTACTCACAACTCTGGTGACTAGTGCTGCTATTTCTTGCTCATTATACTATATTGCAACTGCTCATTATGACATATTATGATACTCCTATGAATGTACTATCAAATATATACATTATATACATATTATATATACTATGTAGTACATATACATAGTATATAATACATACAGAATATTATTTTCATATCATGCGTTCATTCAATCAAAATTAATCTTGAAAAAATCTTGGTGCACATGTTTATGTATCAGTAAATAGGTAATAAGCCCAACTATTGATAATCCTTTTTGGACACTGTAGAGCCACACAAATACAAGCATGGCTCCAAATATCCCCTATTAAACCATAATTGACCTGCACAAAGTTGTATCTATTCCCTATCCCTCCACTGCATGTGAGTTAACATTCCATAAATTCCAGGAGTCATATGGATGCTTGCACTAATCTCTATAATCTTCAATAAAAAATAATTCCAGTAGTTAGTTAGCTAGCTTAACTGTAATGGAGCCACAAAATAGTTTCTCTCCACTGCTTTGCTCCACCCACTGTGATACCATTACTACTGATGATTTCCTGGCAACAGAAAAAGAAGTGTTGACACTCAAGCTTCTTGCTTTGCGCCAAGAGGTGCAATCTATAGTGTTTATTTCTCTTCAAATCACAATTTTTATAGGGTGGCAACGAATAAACACTATTTTAACCAACAAAGCAACTCAAAACCCCAAATAAAGTGTTGTGTTAATACTGAACAGTATTGAACCATATATCAGGAAAGTATCTGCAAAGAATAATAATAAAAATAAAACACATAGGGGGTGGGGCCTGGCAGCCAAGATGGCCAGACATGCTTAGTGATAGCTCTGGCACAATCAGGCACAAAAGCACACTTTTCATGGTCAAAAAATACTGCAAACTGCTTAACACAATTTGTGCCCTACCTAGCATCGAGCAGGAACACGGGGATACGTGTGTGGACCCAAGAATCAAAGTGCCCACGGCGACCGACACTGAGGCCTACCATGAATAGCAGTCCAGGGCCTGGGAGAGGCGGCCGATCTCCCAGTACGGGACATGCTCCATTCAACTATACTCCTGCAGCCCTTTGGACCGGTGGGGGTTATCCCGGTCCCCCCTGGGGAAACATGCTTCTCAGCAATGTCAGGATCCTCCACAGAATAACCAACCGCATGGCGAGCCCAAGATGGCCGCTGCAACAAAGCACTCTCAGCACCAGGAGAGCCCCGCAATCGCAACGTGGAGGGAGAGCTTTGAAGCTCGATTCGACAGCCTCTGTCGGGAGTTCTGGGAGCGCATATATGGCAGACCTCACTCCATAACCCCACAAGTAACCCAAGCTGCGGTACAGGATCACCAATCACACCTCAGAGGGGAGACCCTTCTGGAGGATCTTGCAACCAGACCTTGCTCAGCAAGCTGCCCGACCTCTGGTGCTCCCTCGAACCCGAGACCCAGCAAGGAGGAACAGGATCAACACAGGACAAGCAGAGAGAGCACCCACTGCTGTCCAGGCTACTAAAAGCAGTGATCCATATTACAGCGACCTACCAGCAGCGTACACACAGAAGACCTGTCACTTCCCACAGAGCAGCCTGGAGACAAGCCACGGCACCATTCCTGGCAAATTGAAGGACTGTATGCAGTGGCCCATATGTGGAGTAGGATAAATCTACGACAACAAGAGCGCACTCAAATTCAGACAATTCTATGTATCTCTACTCGCTATAAGTACCCAGTGGCAATACTAACCAGGGGTTCCTATCTTCTGAATTCCTCATGTTGTTATTTACTATTTATTACTGTGACATATAAGCTTACAATTTAAACTGGTTTTCTCTCCCTATATAAAAAAAAAGTGCAATGCTTTTGACACCATAATACTACTGTTAACACATGTGTAAAAATCGACTTGCACCAGCTGTTGTGGCAGTGCAACTCTGCTTGTTTAATCTCTGCACGCATAAAATAAAGAATTTAAAAAAATAAAACACATAGTGCAGACCATCTAATACAACAACAAAAAAGAGCATACACATAAACAAATATGTGGAGTACACTCCCGTTTTCCAGAGCCCTATCCACCCTAGCTCTGGGTAATAGAGTCTTCTAGGAGAGGGAATAGATCCCACAGATAGATGTCCAAAATTTCAGTCTAATCTTCTTAAAAATATGCACTGTATATTAGTCATAAACAGGCATAGGAACCTCCAATGGCACAGTATAAAATGCTTTATTGACACAGATTAAAATATGCCTACTTGCAATAAAAGTGGGCAACAGATAAACCATAAGAATGCCAATATTTTCAACAAACACAGCTAAGTATTTAATATATTTGGCCTGCTCCACTTCCTGGCTCAAGACCCTCATGATGTCACTCTGTTATGTGTTTCACCCTCCTCCTCCAGGCTTCATCAGGGGACATCACTAGTCCTCTCTGCAATTTACAGTTGTGGCTCCACCCTGACTTTGTCTTGTTTGGAAGCACAAGGTCTCATCGGACATGAGGAATATTGAAACAGTGCTGTATATTGAGAGTCTCTGGCAATCAAACTAATTCAAAAGTCCCCAATGTAAAGTTTTACTGCATATATTTATCAAATACATTGAGTTCACAGTCCACTCTTCGACCAGAGAGGACAGTAGAAAAGTAATCTAAAAAGCAGGTCCAAGGCAGAGTTATTATCTCGGAGGGACTCACTAGTTTATTCTTTAGTGTCTCTAACCTATCTATACCATATCTATACCAGCTCTATGTGTGTTATTATCCTACCTTGTATTTAACAACAATACCTCTTCCCCCCTAGAAGCCTGTCCCGGACCTGCTTTTTATATTACTTTTCCACTGTCCTCTCTGGTTATGTAAGACAAGGTTTTCCCTATATATATCTACAAATTACTTTCAGGATACATTAGAAGCAGTTATTTACGTTGTTTCCAATGCCTATGACAAATGTAAATGGCAGTTTTTCACTTGTCACATTTAGAAGACTAATCTACCCTTTCTGTATATACTAAACAGGGTTTCCCTGAGTATATTTACAACATCTGTGAAGGACACTTTGGAAACAAAACTGTTCTCTGCTCTATTGCTATAGTTATATATACTGTTTGTATATAGTTTATGTATCTTTTCTAATAAAGTTTTCTTGTTTACCTTATATTGTATTTACTTTGAAGTATTTCCTGCGAGTCAGGTCTCCATACCCTTCTTTGAGGGGTTATCAGCCTCATTAGTTCTCTATATTTATATTTAAGGGCTACATACCTTTATAACCCTCTCTAGAAAACTGGTGGGTTTTTATTTCCTATCAGTATAAACAGTTTTCACTTTGTAGGTTTAAAAAAAAGTATTAGTTTAAATACGACCTTCTGATAAGGGCTAAAAAATGAACATGAATGATACTTTGGACCACGGTGAGCTTAATTCGAGTTCTAGTTGAGATGTGTGATGAACAGGCCTAAATTCCCAATAGGACCCCTCCAAATCCATATATATATATAACAATAGTAGGTAACAAGGTTTTGCACTTACCCATGCCCCTCATAAACAAAAACTTTTCCCAATATGTCATTAAAAGATTGGCATAGGTGAGTGCAAACCTCATCCCCATCAACGTCCCGAGAATCTGTATAAACAAGAGTCCATAAAGATGATTTGTTTCAATGTTGTGAAGTGTTCCTTTAACATAGCATTGTCAAAAAATTACATCGCCCTAATCTTCCGAGCAATAAAATACAAAATTTAACCCCTTAAGGACCAAACTTCTGGAATAAAAGGGAATCATGACATTTCACACATGTCATGTGTCCTCAAGGTGTTAAACTATAACAGAGAAACAGATGGAAACCGCGCCCTTTATACAATACAAAAGTACATACTCGAGTCCTTATGGTCGTAGTCTTCAATAAGCCTCAAAGAGAATTTTTTTTTAAAATAATAGTGGAGTATTGTCAGTACTTAAAAATATAAAAAAAGCAGAAAGATAAGTGCAAACTCACATTTACCAGAGCTTTTACAGAGCTCTACTGTTGTTGCACCTAGACGGAATGATCCCCGTCTCTGGATTAGTTTGAAGTGATCGGTCTTTTAGCGTCCTCAAACAAATAACACATATAGAGACATAGAAATCCTTATAGTGTAGTATTGTCGGTGCTTAAAAATATAAAAAGCCAAAAAGATAAATGCAAACTCACATTTACCAGAGCTTTTACAGAGCTCTACTGTTGTTGCGCATAGACGGAATGATCCCCGTCTCTGGATGGGTTTGAAGTGATCGGCCTTTTAGCGTCCTCAAACAGATAACACATATAGAGACATAGAAATCCTTATAGTGTAGTATATTACAGTATTTTGAAGGAAAATTGAATAAAATGCAAGGTAGCGTACTCACATGTACTTGAGCGTCCATCGCTCTAGATTCAAAGCGTAGGTGGTATAATCCCCACCATAGGATATGATGACAACAACAGTACAGCCTTAGGAATAAAAATGATGAATCAGAAAAGAAGAATCCCCTTATTGTTAGAAAAATTTCATATAAGTACTTCAAAAGCTTCAGCTAAATATACACAGTACTCCCAAGCATCTCTAAAAACTCTTTATTTTAAGATGGCTGAATTATTTAAAAAAATAGAGCATATTTTACCATGGTTATTGTTTTATTTTAGTCTTTCAGCAAACAAAATTACATTCTAGTTCTTACAACAAGCTTTAATGTTTTTATACTTAGAGCATACTTGACTAACTGAACAAAATTAATTATTTTAGTTAGTTTGACTCTGGGGTCAGGTGCTTCTGATTTCCTAAAATAAGGAATTGAGTTCAGAGGGCATAGACACACAGTAACACAAAAAGATATAAAACCCACTAAAGAATAAAAGCGAGAATAAAAATAACATACATCCACCTAGACGCAAGTCGTGCAAGGACAATGAGTTTGCAATGCTGAAAATAATCTGGATTTTTAAAGCATTTGTATGGTTCATTAATTCTCCAAATGCTAATCAATGTTTTTGTCGCAAATGTCACTCTCTGCTTTGATCTTTTGTTTGTTCATTTTATTTTTTATGGAAAACCAGGATTTTTAAAGGTTGTTTATAATTTAAAGGTTGTTATAGTTTAACATACAGAGATTAGGCGCTCACTATAAAAAAGAGATGAATTGAGAGTGGGCAGCAGTGACCGACACAAGGATTCCCAACCTTGTAGTATAGCAAATGAGAATAGAGAAACAGATGGAAACTGTGCCCTTTATACAATACAAAAGTACATACTCGAGTCCTTATGGTCGTAGTCTTCAATAAGCCTCAAAGAGAATTTTTTTTTAAAATAATAGTGTAGTATTGTCAGTACTTAAAAATATAAAAACAAGCAGAAAGATAAGTGCAAACTCACATTTACCAGAGCTTTTACAGAGCTCTACTGTTGTTGCGCCTAGACGGAATGATCCCCGTCTCTGGATTAGTTTGAAGTGATCGGTCTTTTAGCGTCCTCAAACAAATAACACATATAGAGACATAGAAATCCTTATAGTGTAGTATATTACAGTATTTTGAAGGAAAATTGAATAAAATGCAAGGTAGCGTACTCACATGTACTAGAGCGTCCCTCGCTCTAGATTCAAAGCGTAGGTGGTATAATCCCCACCATAGGATATGATGACAACCAGGAAATTCAATATAAAATAAAAAGGTGTCTAAGAGTGATAAAAATGTAGTAATTATTTATTATACATAAAAAACAATAAAACAGAATATATATAAAATTATCACTCTGTAGAAAAGTCCATAAAAAGTCCACTTTACGTGTTTCACCTAAAAAGGCTTCCTCAGAAGTGTGTGGGCAAAGTCCTGGTAATGTCCAAATATATAAAATATGGTATTCAAAGTTATTAGCTTCATCTGTGGGGTATCAATCACTTACTGTTTCCAGATTTCAAAATTGGCGCGCTCGCGTCATACCGGAAGTGACGCGGCGCCATATTGACCAATAAGGTGGTGGAGAATACTTCCAATAAAAAAATACGCATCAGTGGAACGCACACGTCATACCGGAAATGACGCGGCGCGATTAGACCGTGGTATTGTGTGCGTTCCATCTATGGAACGCAGGCGTCATAACGGAAGTGACGCGGCGCGCTGGAGCTATGGCAATGTATGCGTTCCAACTGTGGAACGCAAGCTGGTGCTTGAATAAGAAACAACATTTGTAATAATAAGCAGCTTATAAAATGATTTTGCAAGGTGATATATATATATATATAAAAAAAAGGATAATAGAAGGAATCTTAGATTAAAATATATATTAAGTATAACTTATAAAGTTATTCAAGATTTAATTCTAAAATGGAGAGAATCTAATTGCAATTAGTATTCTCATATATGCATGTATATATGTATATATAGAGGGGAAGAAAACATATGAATAAAAAGAAATATGAATGTAAAAAAAAGGAAATAGTAAATATTATGTATATATAAATGGAAGTAAACCTAGTAATATTGTCATCCAATATAACATAACATGTAGGTAAACAGAGGATAATTTGCAGACATAGGTAATAGTTATAAAAAACAATGAGAATCCTCTGTTAAATATAACAGGAATACATATAGAAATAACATAA